ATATATTACCAAGCATTATACACTGTTACAAATTCTAACTATGGTAAAGTGTATAAAAATAAAGGAATGATCGAAATAGATCAAGAATGTGCAGGAATTGCAAGAATAGTTGAAGCAGAAATTCAACAAGCCCAAATTCCAGATGAATATGAAATTCAGTTTGGAAAAACACAGGAAATAGGAAGTTCTAGTAACCCTAGACTTTCGATAGAATATGGAAGAAATTCCATTAGAAAAGGTATATCTAATAGATATCCTTTAAAAATCTTAGAAACTTCAAATATAACTAAGATAAAAGGACAATTTACGAGCGAGAGCATTATACCTATAAAACCTTTGAAGGTAATAACTTTAGTATATATATATATATATATATATATATATTACATTTGAGGCATTGAGTTTAACTTGGATTCAACTCACTGATGATTCTAGTAACCTGATGTAGTTATTAAGGAAATGTCATATTTGACTTATATTTTGAATGATTGATTTAGTAGATGATCACTGAGTTTAATATAGTGATACATTTCTATATTTAGTAAAAAAAAAATTACTCCTAATAAAATAATTTTTAAATTTCTATTTTACTCCTAATAAAATAATTTATAGCTATACAAATATTTATGACTTATTTTAGACCACATCTTTCTTAAACTTATGTCAAGTCAAACTACATCATATAAATATGAACGAAAATTAAATGTTTACTAAATATAGAAATGTGTCATCAAAAAATATTTTTTTACTAAATATAGAAATGTTTCATTCTTTTTGGGATTGACTGAAATGAAAGTGAGTCATATAATTTGAACGGAGTAATTTTTTCAGACCATGTCACATATTAGGAGGTAATTTTCAAAAATTCATGTTTGAGGGAATAATTAGTAACAATTAAGCGAAATTATCAACCTTAGTGATACCATATTGATTTAGTATCAGTTAAGCGAAACTTATCAACCTTAATGAATGAAGGGTATGAGCTGTAAATTTTTTTTGAGAGAATGAGTAATTGCGGTATGAACATGTAATTATGTTGAATTTTATGGCTCATTTACATAGGTTTTCCTTAAAAAAAAATTATAATTTAGGTGTGCATTTAATAAAGTATGCCAAATTTAATTTTTTTAAAAACTATTAACTCTTTATTAAATAAATCTTTTGTAACAAAAAGGTGAACTGATGAAGTATATATTATTACATTAAATCTATAATATGTAGTCTTATTCTTTTTTTTTTTGTCCGTAATAAACTGTGAAATATTACCTTTCTGTTGGTAATAAACTTGCCAAATTTCCCCTTGTCATAGTTGTATGGGGTACAACTCAGTACAAGTATAACATAAATTAAGTAATCTATTATATATTTGTAATGTTTACAACCATGGATAGACAAATCTAAAGTTACTAGGTGAAGGATTCGGGTTCTTAGTACGAGCAAAATATATACCAGAATCTTTCGCTAACCAAGTACAATAAATATCTTCCTTAAAAAATGGAAATCTACAAGGACTCTTTTGCGAATAAAAAACATCAAAAAGATTATTCTTCAAACCCCATGCAAAAGCGCAATAAAAATGAGTAGTGCCCCAAAAATTCTGATGAAATGAGAAATCAAATTTTTCATCCACTTTAAGTGTGCGAACTCCAAGATCATCATCTTCAGATTGACAATGAACTTTGAGCGGAGAAGTGTTTTCAGGGAGGCCATTAACAAAAATTTCAGTAATTGTTGGATTAAAAGTAATGGCATTTGTCAACATCATAAGATTGATGATAAATAAAATAAGCAATGAAAGTTGAACTTTGGTGAAAGGGTAATAAGCCATTTTAAGAGTGAAAATAAAGTTGGTTTTTCACTTTATAAAGATGATATATGTATAGAGATTTTACATTATAGTATTGAGTTTAATTTGGATTGTTCCACTCACTGATGATTCCATTAATCTCTGATGTTGTTATTAAATAATAAATGTAATTTTTTGACTTATATTTTGACTGACTAATTTCGTAGATGGTCAATTAAGTTTTTATTATATCAAAAAATAAATTAATTTGTGACATAAAAGTTACTCAATATTGTCAACGTATTATAAAAAGTCTCTTAAGTATTTTAGTAGTTAAAGAAAAAATACTTAAAATTCTCCTTAAATTTGACATATTTTATTAAATATATATTTAAATTATGGGAAGTCTAATTAGTTATCCCTTCGAATATGGATTTTCGAAACTATTTACTCTCTAATATGTCATATGGTACAATAAATTATTTCGTCATAATTTATATTGACTCATTTTCTTAGTATTCAATCTCAAAAGAATGACATATTTTTATATTTAGTAAAAATTAATTTTAAATATTTTATTTTATCTTTAATAAAATGATTAATAACCACACAAAAGTTTATAACTTATTTTAGATCACATTTTTCTTAAACTTTACGTCAAGTCATATTACACCATATAAATAGGAACGGAGATTAACTTTTTTACTAAATATAGATGTGTCATCGAAAATTAAATTTTTTACTAAATATAGAAATGTGTCATTTTTTCTGAAATTGACTAAACATGAACGTGAGTCATATAAATTGAAAGGAGTAATTTTTTATGTCATGTGGCATATTAGGAGGTAAGTTTCAAAAATCCGTATTTGAGGGGGTAATTAAGACTTCTCATAGTTTAAGGGGTAAATAGTTCCAAAAATCCATATTTGAGGAGGTAATTAAGATTTCGCATAGTTTAGGTGTGCATTTTTAATAAAGTGTGTCAAATTTACGATTTTATTTTTTAACTATTAACTCTATATAAAATAGCTCTTTTGTAACAAAAAGATAGACTGATCTAGAAGACTCTTGTACTTATTCCTATTTATTATCTCGATTTTTATATTTCAAAGCTTTTTATCTATATTTGATATTATGTGTATGACAATGACTATGAATTTGATACTACATCAAATCTATTTTATGTAGTCTTATCTTCTTTATTTTTAATAAACTATAAAATATTACCATACCAATAAAACGAGATTCAATACACCTAAAAGAGCACTCACCCCTTTAAGAAAGGGTGCCAAGAGGGATGAGACTCAAAAATGAAAAACTACTAAAACAATGGGAAAACTACATAAATGGGCATTAAAATTTAAAATAATTACAAGTTCATATCAAAATTTAAAGTAATTCTTGAAATATACATTCTCTCATAAATAATTACAGTTCATACCCCCCTTAAGTGATACTAAATCGGTATCATATACTGTATTGGTATCATTAAGGTTGATAATTTCGTTTAACTGATACTAAATCAATATATATATATATATATATATAAGTATCATTAAGGTTTATTGTTAAGAAATTACTTATTAGTCAATGATACTATAAGAGTATATATATATATATACTGATTTAGTATCAATTCAGCAAAATTATCAGCCTTAATGATATTAATACAGTATATATGTACTGATTTAGTATCAGTTAAGCGAAATTAGTAAATAGGGGTATATAGTGTAATTATTTAGTGGGGTATGAATGTAAAGGGGTATATGTTTGTAATTATTTTGCTTTTATGGGGTATTTGCTTATTTTTCCCTAAAACAATTACTCCCTCCGTTTCACAAAGAGTGACCTGGTTTGACTTGGCACAAAGTTTTAGAAAATAAAAAGACTTTTGAATCTTGTGGTTCTAAATTAAAGTTATGTCAAATGTACTAAACTGCCCTTCAATCTTGTGGCTTTAAACATGCCACGTGGAAAGCTGAAATTAAAATGTTACCAAAAAGGAAAGAGATCATTCTTTTTTAAATAGACTAAAAAGGAAAGGAGGTCATTCTTTTTTAAACGGAGGGAGTACATAATTGTGTAAATACGATATATAGTTATGTATTCAATATGTATATATATTAATAAACATTGTCTAAATAATATTTATATATTATAATGTACAATTAATTCATCTTTCTCGAAATTCAGCTCAAACCTTCTCTAAACAGTTTTGAATTTTAGCTATGCCAGAATTTTCATTAAGGGGTGTTAGTGTTTGTGGTAAAAAAAAAGTATTATGAGGCAAGTACGTTGGACTTGAATTCGCAACCTCAAAGAATTTTCCCAACCTCTTAGCCATTAGAGTAAACTTTCAACTTATTCTACAAGGTATCAATACTTATATAGCTTGACACCCCTTGGGAAAGGGTGACTCCGCCTCTGAGCTCCTCTCTATATTTCGAGTCTTTTAATATATTAATCACTCAAAACATGTGTTGGTGTGCAGCAAACATGTGTTGCCCACGGGTGTTACTTTACATCTAGAACCTTGCAGCTAAACCAAAAGGGCTTCTTATATAATTGTACAAGTAATAAAAAAATTCAACAAAATAATTGTATGAATATGTAATGTATCGATATTGTATATATAGTTATGTAATGTATCGATATTGTCTAAATAGTTATATAATGTATTGATATTGTATAAATAGTATATATGATATATATCATTATTTATTAGAGATCATATATACATTCATTGACACTATTCATACATCACAACAGTTAATATTCTTGAACGAACTGATTTTTTTTTCAATCAAGACTAACTAAAATATCTTCTAAATAGTTTCAAAATTCTGATTTGTGCTCTCACGATTTAAAATATTATACTCAAAACAATTCACATTTACCTGCACTTTGTTGACCAACCATATTTTATAATAAATGATGATTGGATCATTTTAAATAAAGAGGTTTGACTCAATAAATAGTTATATTTTAAAAAAAATCAAAATAAAACTCCTTTTAAATGATAAAAGTCAATTCAAGTAATTATCAGATTACACATATTTTTCTTGAAATAAACTGAATTGACTCAATTTCAGAAGAATCCAAATACAAATACAAAGTCAGACAAATTTTAATATTGGTTGAATCAATTATTGTATCATTTTATAAATAGAGCAACCAATTTCATTTGCATTTCTGAAACACCATGTCTCTCAAAATGGATTTTTACTCTTACTCAAAAATTCGACTTTCATTATTTATTTTATCACTCATCAACATCAACGCTAAGCCAATAACAAATTCTCCCATTCGTTTAAATCCAACAATTTTCCAACGTTTTACAAGTGACCTCCCTGAAAATACACCTTTACTCAACATTCATTGTAAATCTAAAGATGATGATCTTGGAATTCAAACACTTAAACCGGGTGATCTATATCATTTCAAATTCCATATGAATTTCTGGGGCACTACTCTTTTTTATTGTTACTTTTCCTGGGGTTCAAAGCATAATAATTTTGATGTCTTTAAACAACATGGTGGCATTTGCTCAGATCATGGTGAGCTGCTCAAAGATTACTATTGCAATTGGTTGATGAAGGACTCTGGTATTTTTTTGGCTTACGGTCCTAATCCTACACCTGACGAATACCAATTTGTCCGTCCTTGGTTATCATAAAAAATATTTCTTTGTTAAGTACATCTTTATATATAAGAAGTAATTTTTTTTATAATATACTTGTGCACCCCCTCCTACCCTCATCCTCGAACATTAAAAGAAATGACAAATTTTATAGTAAGAAGATCTTGCATCGGATTAATAAATCGATACGATTTTAATTATCTTAGTTATGTGATTAAAAACATTTTTAGTTTCAGATATATCAAATGCTTAATTAATATCTGATTAATTATGCGTAGATTGTGATTTGTGAATATGATAGATGTTTATTTGAGATTAAATTAGCATCAACAACAAATGTGTGGTTGAAACTTCAGATTGAAATTAGGCAAAAAGAAACATCTAGATTTCATAGTATGAAAGTAGAATTATAACTTTTTGGATTTTATAGTAGCAAATAATTTAGAGAACAATAAAATATTTGCGGTAGAAAGATCATTGTTTAATTAACTAGCACATAATCATATAGAAAGCAAATTAGAGTAGAAATTTAACACAGATTTAATAAGGATCGGTTAAAGCATAATTCTAAACAGAAATCGATTTAATTTTTTTCACTATGGAAAAAAAAAAAAGAAGGGTACAAAATAATGAATCCCCTAACTATACATCAAGAAGTCACAAACCTACAAAAGAAAGGTTTTCTCAATCAAGTTCAAGACATAATTGACAATTTTTTCTACTCACAACACTAACAACATATAAAAATACTATATGCAATCTTACTTTACATTTCTATATGAGGTTGCTTTCATAGGCTAAACTTAAATATGCAAGACCTTTTGGTCACACGAGGGAAATTATGGGGTCGTTTGGGTGTGAACAAGTTATTTCAAGATCAATTATCTCGGGATCATATGCGATAACTTATCTCAATCACTTATCATGCCTATCATGAAGTTGAACTAGTTTGACTAGTTAGTTACTTCCACTTCTTGAATTTGCCTCCATGATTCTTGCCAAATTTGCCTTGTTTGTATTTGCCTTTCCCCTTTCCTTGCTTAAACTTTCCATGCCCCTTGTCATGCTTTCCATGATCATTATGTCCATAATGAGTGGTACCCGGTGCAGGGTAATGACCTCCGCCGTGTCCCATATGATGAGCACCATACGCGGCTGCTCCAGCAACTGCTACTCCCGCCATCATTCCATGTGCTACGTACAGATACAGATTCAGAATTTAAACTTTGATTACTGGACAAGTTGAATGAAAATAAGTTAAAATTACCTTCTTATCCTTAATGAAATAAACACAAATGGTCAAAAAGTGTTTACCCCACAATTTTCGGAAATCTTTCTCTTTTTTTTCTTGAACTTTGTACCAAATTCAAGATCACTTAAATTGAGACGAAGGAAAGTAATTGTGAGCACTTGTTATCATTATACTCCTTCTTTTACGTTTTACTTTTGTCATTTTTTGTCTTTTAAAAGTGTTTTGTTACAACAATCGTATATCAATCCACATCTAAAAGTAATTAAGCAATGGTACCTGCATGGTGTGGAGCGGGTTGACTAGGATAACCCGCCTGTGGATATCCTGCAGGCGGATATCCCTGTGCCGGAGGATAACCTTGTGGCGGATACCCTTATTGAGGAGGGTATCCTCCGGGTGCTGGAGCATACTGTCCCGGAGGATATTGACCTCCAGGAGGAAATTGCCCTCCCGGAGGATGTTGTCCTCCGGGAGGATATTGTGCATGCTTATCCTTTCCACCTCCCATTCTTCTCAAGTACCTAGAAATGTCAAAAAAAGGCAAAATGGAATTAAGTTTCAATATCATAGAAATGATCAAGAACCACATGAAATCAAATTGTTGCACTAGCAATACTAACACTAAGTAGGCCAACAAATAAGTGAAAATTAAAAGATAGCATGAAGTAATGTATATATGTGACCTCTTTGCAAGTGACAAAGTTATTATACTCTAGCTAGAAATTATTAGAACTAATATTAATTACTCTTATTATTACAAACCACAATATTCTCAAAGGTCAATTTCAAGACCATAAGATCCCTCAATTCTTGATGAAATTTAGAGATCACATAATAAATTCCTAAATAAAAAAAGTTTCAAACATGATCAAAAACCAGCAAATGTCTCAAAAAATTCCTAACATAAAATCGAGAACATTATATTTCTTACTATACCAAAAAAAAAAAAAAAAAAAAAAA